TTTTTTTTTTTTTTTTTTTTTTAATAGAAAGGTGAACAAATTTGATGTGGAATTGCCCCCATTTTCAGAGTAACTTTAAAGATGAGCTGCATTTTAAGGAATAAATTTAAACCCAAGATTAGATCTGACAAAAATTACAATTACAATGTAATTCACTTTTACTGATCACTGCTCACAGAGAACAGGCAGCTGTGTAAGAAATTTCACTGTGCAAAAGCCATTTTCCTATGTGAGCTGCTGTGCTTGCCTTTCACCCATACCCATCAGAATCAGAAAAGGAATTTTTTTTTTAATGATGTTCCAGGCAAGAAATAGTTTTTTACCCTCCTGAATGCTGCTCACCTTTTTTCTTTTTTTTTTCTTTTTTAAATGGACAGCTTCTGTAAGTGCTAATTAGAGCCAATTATAGTTTGATTGACCTGTCTTGGTATTAAAATATCTTGCAGCTTTTTCTTTGCTCTTTCAAAATGGATATTATCCCTCTCTGCACATGTCAATTTGGAAGGCCATAGTTGTGGAGAAAGTTAGAATGGGAATTTTATATAAACCTGATTTTGAGGATGTAAACAGGAAACCCACCGCACAATGTCACAACATTTAAGATGATGTGCATGGAAAAACTTGTAGTAAAAGAAACGATTAATATATTTATAGACTGATTAATTCAAAGGCAAAATCAAACTATGGAAACATCATAATTAAGTTAAATTTCCTTTATTACTGTTTAAACTCCTTTCATTAGCAAAGCGATAGCAAACATTAACAGCACCACCTTTGCTTTCTATTGAGTCTAAATTTGTTTGCAAACATTTGGCCTGTGTTGTATTGGGATGTGTTTGCTACTGGAAATATGTAGCCAAGAGTCCGAAAAAACCCTCAAGTCTCTTTAGACAACACAAAAGTTTGTTTAAGAACTTCCTCTTTCTCGGCACAATTCTGCTGTGTGAAATTAAACCAATATATGTGTCTTAGTGTTCCTAAATGGACACACTTAGGCCAGTATAAACGTCCTCGCAGTGAGGATTATACTGCTATAACTCTATTAGTATACCCGGTCAAACTTTTCTATATAGCCTAATTCAAAAGAGAAAGATACCACTGATTTCAAAGGGAGCATTACTGGATGAAATCCTATGAAGTGTGGCATGGAAGAAGTCAGATTAGATACGTATATATTTAAAAGTTCAAACTAGCCTACGAGAGCCTAACTCTGCTCTCAAATGAAGCCAATGGGAGTTTTACCAAGGAACTGGAGCTCCTTAACAGCGAATACTTTTGAAAAATGCCCCCAAAATGTGTTAGATAATAGTTCTGTAAGACAGAAATACCTCTGCACCTACCTGGTATTCAGAGTCCTATAGGATAAGTGCAGCAGTCACCCTTAACAAGAGATGCATAGTGGGGGAAGGAGATGGGGGAAGCATTGTTATTATAACGTGTTAAATAAGTCCATGCGTTCCCCACCTTTATATTTTAATAGTGTAAACTATAGCTACTGGTAAGTTCAACAAGCACTGGCTGTGCGAGGCCATTAAAGGGATTTCTACTTAAAAGAAAGGTAAACGGAAAGCTGTTCTGGAATTCAGATACTCGGTGCAGGAGGGGCTTTGGCTGAGTGTCTTTGGGAAATGGTGGGCGAGACATTGCTCAGAGGACAATGAATAACAATGTAACTTTAAGCAAAGCCAGAAGGCAGCATCAGTGCATCCTGAAACTTATTTTTGTATTTATTTGTGCATTTTTATATGCCTGGCGCACGACCCTAGCAGATGTCTGAACAGCAGGGTTTGGGGTCAGACGGCTAGCTGAAAATGGTATGGAGCAATGAGCAGGGAAACTGTCTCTAGTTGTTGGATTCCTTTTATGTTCACAAACCAGTACTTTGTATCATCTTGGAAACAAACAGAACTACATTAAAGGCACGTGACCTTGTCATTAGTTTTTCCTCCTAACTGGAATAGCCTACTAGAAATTTGGCCAGCTCCGTGTGTCAAGAGGGCAATGTTATATTAAGGTAGGGCTAGAGTAAACCCATTCTGTGGAGGGTAGGGTTACCATACGTCTGGCTTTTCCTGAACATGTCCTCTTTTTTGGTTCCCTGTCCTCCGTCCAGGTGGGTTTGGAAAACGCAAGCAAATATCTGGGTTTTTGCTGTGCCTCTACTTTTCTCTGGCACTCCCGGCTTAGCTGCTTGGGGCTGGGGGCAGCGGGGAAAGGTGATTGGCTGTCGGGGATCACATGCTCTGCGCACAGGTCCTGGCAGCTGCTGGCAGGTGACAGAGAGACAGAGACAGCTGCGGGTGGGGAGGGAGGGGCACCGGCAGAGCTGGGGAGAGAGGGGGCTGTGGGTTGGGAGGGGCATCAGCAGACATAGGGGGTGGGGTAGAGTGGGGCAGGAGTGAGAAGCAGCAGCAGGGCTGGGGGGCTGTGGCTTGGAAATCAGAGGCAGGGGCAGGGCACGGGCATATCATTGCTCCCCCCCACAATCATATACCCCTTTCCCCTCTTCTTCCCCATCCCCCCCCCACATATTGCCAGTATTAAAAAAAAGGGATCTTAGAGGGCCTTACTCTGCTTCCTCACCCACTACAAAGCATCACTCGGAGTGGCAGCACTGGGCCCGTGCTGATTTCATTTCCTTTGCTATCTAAGACAAACAGACATTTGCTTTATGTGAACTACTGAAATCCACTGACATTTATTCCTCAGTACTGTGGCTTTTTAAAGCCACTCTGGCATTTACATATTTTAACAATGACTAGCTTTGTGCTGGGTTTGAACTACATGCAATGTGACCTTTTCTGTGGAAAGCAGTGATCCTAAGGAGAAAGTGCATCCATTCTACTGAGGGCCTAAGCGATGCGAAAAAGGCCCAACCAGAGCAGACCGAGGGCACTGGCACCTTTCCAGAAGCCAAAGGGTTAGGTCTGTTTATGTATTGTGATGCATTAAAAAAGGAGAAAACCTTAGTTCTGCTTTGTGCTCACTTTATTTTTTCATTTCCCTTCTTTCTGGGTCTGGTTTTGATGATTTCCTCTCATCTCCCCTTATGTCATTTCCCAATCTTTTATACCATCTCTTCCTTTACCCCCTTTCCTATTAGGACCTGTGGTAAATTGCTGCACAATCCTTATCTAAAATAGGAGAGAAACCCTGTTTTATTTTTTTCCCTCTCCTTTTCTTTCCTTTAATCTCAGCATATAGCTCAATGCTAGAGAAGGGCAAATGGCACAGAGTTTAGATCAGACTCCTCAATTTATCCAGAGTTCAGGAGTGCCATCCTGTAGAATGGAATAAAATGGTGACCTTTCTATAGCTTATTTTTTAAAGCCTCCTCCTCAAGAGCTCATGGAGGACAAAAGTAGTCCGGGAGTACCGGGGAAGGGCAAACACTGTATCTATCTCTAAAAAGGGGAGAAAAGGGGATCTGGGGAATTACAGACAAGTTAGCCCAACTTTGATTCTTGGAAAGATACTGAAACAAATTATTAAACAATCCCTTTGTAAGCAGTGAGAAGATAATAAGGTGATAAGAAAAACCAACATCAAGTTGTCAAGGACAAATCACGTCAACCAGTAGATATGTGTCTATGTCAGCAAGACTTTTGCTCCAGCCCCACATTACATTTCAAGCAAAATAGAGAGCTACAGCGTAGATAAAACTACTATAAGGTGCATGCACATGGGTTGGAAAAAAAACCCAAACGCAAGGGCAATTATCAATGGCTTATTTTCAAACTGGGAGGATATATCCGGTAATGCCCCACAGGGTTTGGTAGCAGAAACTATTTTCATTAATAGATTGGATGATGTGTATATTACATGTATATTAGATACCTACTTCTATAATATTGGAGGGGTTGTATTTGGGAGGACAAGATTGAATGATCTTGATATATTCGCTAAAAAGCCTGAAGTCAACACGATTAAATTCCAGAAGAAAAACAAGCACAAAGTACTTTGCTCTGGATGCATAAAGTGGGAAGAACGGACTAGGCAGCACTGCTACAGAAAAGTTCTGGGGATTATGGTGGACTACACACGACATGAGAAGATATCGCAAAAAAGGCAAACA